TATGGCCTAAATCACTATCTGTATATATATAGTGATTTAGGCCATATAAGCTTTAGTTTTACTTAGCCAATACTATGAAATAGTCATTTTTAATATTCAGACATTTTAAAGGTGGTTTTAAATGGACGATCTTTATGGTTGCCATTTTGTTTTATCACGATCCGTACTATTAAGTACTACTGTACTTAATAATACTGTTACTATTCCAGAATATTTAGTGTTTATGTAGTATACCTGTGCTTAAGGTTTAATGTATGGTATTTATTCCATAACAGTTTTTCATGTGTATTTGTCTTATTTATGACATTTTTGGTACTGAAGTAGTTTTGCTTATGTTTTATGATATAAGTGGTATGTTATTTTTGAGCATTGTGTGACATTTATATAAATTTTTATGAGAAGTCAAATGATTTCTTTATTTTAATGATCATGTTTCCATTATTTATTTATTTTAATGATCATGTTTCCATTATTTATTTATTTTAATGATCATGTTTCCATTATTTATTTTAATAACAGTACTCCATTGGAGCTGACCTTTAGCCTGACCAGTAAAAGTCCTTCAGAACATGTAACTGGACAGCTATCTTTCAAATTTACACTTGAAAGTGGGCCAGGTAAGTGAAGTTAGAGGAACATTTAATTATATTTCTGTGAGTTTAAGTTCAAAGGTGGTGATTTACCTGGTTTATTAACCTTGCAATACGTATTATGACTGTGAGACCCTACATTTTCACTCATGTCAGACCATATTTCAAATGAATTTCAGCAATTATTTGCTGCAATAATAAATTTTGAGTGGCAAGGTTATATTGTAGTTTTAGTGCCAATAGCAAAGTTTCTGTTACATACACTTTAGAACTTTAAATGTTATCATCATTAATTCTATACCTTGTCCTACAATTAATATTACACTCTAAAAACAGAAGTATAAAAGTTCTGATTATTGTGATAAGCATTTGTTGTTAGCCCTTTGTATTTAAAACAAATATCTTGTATACATCCATCACATACCAATCAGGTTGATTCCTGTGGCAAGCTTATGGCTAAAGGTGATATGTTATTTGTTTAGTTGATTATTTTTATAAAGTCCATTAATCTTAAACTGTGCATTATACTGCTATATACTTATTATACTAAAACTGTGCATGATAAACAACTGAGTATTGTGCCTTTAATATTCAGGTTTTAAGTTAATATATTATTAAATAAATTAACACAGCAGTAAGTGTAAAGACTTATAATTCTACAGTGGGCACAGCTCAGATAGCCTATTGTGTAGCTTTGTGCTTAATAACAAACACTCACACAAAACAAAACTGTGGCATGATTGAGGGCTTATAATGCAAAAAAATCAAGGTTCAGTTAGCACATATAGCCCCTGCGTATCTTTGCACTTAAATATATATAATACAAAAAAAAAAGACTCTTATTTATATAATATATAAATTATCTCTATTGATTTTGTAAATCATATTTAATTTTATTTGTACTTAAAAGGATATTATAAAAACAGCTCATATTATGCTGATATGAAAGGATATTGGATTTGTGATATGTTTAGTGTTTTCATTACTTAAAAGACCAGCAAATCTCATTAGAAACTTTAATATTTCAGTTTTGTGTAGGCCTGCTGTTACATTTTTTCTGTAAAAAACACTTATAAAACTTTTAAAGAATAAAGTTAGTATAGAGGACTGTGTACACTAAATAATTTTAGTTAGCATATCATTTAGTGATTAAGAATACTATTCCAAACTTGATGACATTGTAAACAAAATGTTTGAATTTTGAACTTTTAAAGAATAAAGTTGGTATAGAGGACTGTATACACTAAATAATTTTAGTTAGCATATTGTTTAGTGATTAAGTATACTATTCAAAACTTGATGACATTGTAAACAAAATGTTTGAATTTTGTCGAGCCATAAGGTAGGTAAGTAAGTAGCATTAAGGTAAGTATAACTTAAAATTTTATAAAGAAGTTTTGATTTGGATTATCACTACACTGCACCTTAGTCTTTACTTTTGATCTGGTTGAATTTTTTACTACTGGTGAGATTCAGTCAGATCTATTAATAATATTGTATTTGTCCTAATAAGTATAGTTTAAATCTTAAATTTTCATTATAAAATGTAGAATATTTTTAATATTTTGCTGGAATTGCAAGACTTACAAGAAAACTAATTCACTACTTTGTATTACAGTTGATTTGTGGACTCAGGTGAGACAGGTTCATAATCCTATATATATGTCAGATCTTCCTATTGGACAAGAAGGATCATCTCTTCCTTCCACTCCAGTTCATCAACCTCCTCACAAAGCTGCTAGGGCCACTTCAGTTCCCAATGGAAACATTCCCCAGCCTCCTTCTGGCCAGAATTTATTAGAACCAGTGTTTCAGACAGAGTCAGTCTCCACAGTAACACAAAAACCTGTTAATTCTGTATCTTCTCAACCATTGGTAAGCAGTGCTTCAACTATATGTGGTAATGGAGCTGTTGCTGCCAATGGAAACACTGTAGTAGCCTTTACAAACCCAGAGTATGTATTACAAAGTGTGACAGAAACACTGGCAGCTGACACTCTAGATTTAACTAAGCCTCCAGATATTCCCCCACCATTGCCACCCAAGCAGAAAACTAGGAAACACCATGGACATAAACCACTGGAGCGTATGAAAGCTCTAAACCCTACTGACAATCAAGATGTTGGAAGTAGTGATGATATTGGCCGACCCTTGTTATCAGAAGCCAGGCATGTTTGTCCTGAAGACAGTTTCCTTCTAGAAATAGTTGATACAGATGAGCAGAATGGTTTATCCAGCACAGAAGAAGGACTAACACATAGTTTGGAATCTGATGAAAGTCTAGAAAGTATTCCCCCCTCAAGTTCTGTGCTGTCATTTGACGAAGACAATACAAATCCTCCTCCACCACCTCAGCGGGAGCCAGGGGCTTCTCGACCTTCAATACTTCCAGTTTCACCATCACATCATTCAGAAGACTCTTCAGAGGAAGAAGAACAGTGTCCAGTAGATAATATTACCCCAAGAACCTCCATTTCACTAATCAGCAAAACTGCACCATTAGCTACACCTGAGCATGACTCGGTTCAAGAAAGGGTGTCTTCTCTAGAGAATGACTACAATGCTTTACCAGAAAGTCAAGAAGAGAATGAAACTGAACTAGATGCTATGTCAGGAGTTGTTGTTTCAAATGATGTGCCAAATACTACTGTAATCTCGGAGGATCTAATTGTTAGTGAAAGGGTAGATACACAAGAACTTTATGCAGGAGAATTTGATGGAGCTTGTGGTACAACAACTTCACCTCCAGGTTCTGCAAGCCCCTCACATACTATCAGTGGCAGCGACCATGATGAAGTCAATACTGATGGTTCTGTGGGTGGCCCAAGCACCAATGTATCTGATTCTGAGACCTCCTGGTCTGGTGGTGGTGAGAATGAAGATACAGTTGACTACCCAGAAGAATATGTGTGTGATTCAGCCTCAACTGGTACAGAGACTGCAGGCAGTCCAGAAACAGAAGATGTTCTTACTAGTCCATGTGAGGCAGGTGATCAGTTTTTAGACCAGGGATTTGAACATAATAGTGAACCAACAAGTGTTGATGAACAAATACCAGAAGAACCCTCTACAGAAGCTCAAGAAAGAACTGTAGTAGAATGTGTAGAAAGCATAGAGACTGATCAAAATGAGCAGAGCAATACTGAAACAAGTTCTGCAACAGCTTCTGTGAGTGAAACTGTAGTGCCATCCGATGCATGCCGACTGTTACTTCAGTGCTCTCCTACTCCTGCTTACCACCCTCATCCAAGACTTCATGCAACAATTGATGTTAACCACCCACTGTGGGAACCAAGAAGTTCAACTACATGGTAGTATTTTAAAGACTTAAGGAATAAGTAATACAGTTTAAAATAATTATTTTCATATTTTATTGCCAAATCTTCACTGAAATAAAAGCTTAAGTTTTTTTCTTTCTTATATTTAAAACGAGTATTTAAGGTATTTTTACTAACTACTATTAATAATTTTAAGAGGCTTCTGTATATATTATTGTTCCTTACTCTTTCTTCCTTGCTCTGTTTTTCCAGCCAAATGTGTTCATGGAGTATTGTTGAGAGTATGTTTGTAATTCTTTCCTGTATTCTTTAACTTAATCTGAATGACTTGTATTGTAAAACAGAATATAAAATGTAGTAAACTTATGAAAATTAATTAAATTAGTAAGTGTAAACAATATTGTATTTTAGCTTGTATTATTCTTTTATGCTTGGGTAGTGTCAGATTGTCAAGTACTTGTAAGTTTGCCAGTTGTTATGAATTTCCCTTATTGGCATAAAAAATTGATATTTTCTTGATGGTTATTAAAGTTAGAAACTTAAGTTATTTTAAGGTACACAGAATAGTAATGATTAAAGTAAATATTAGGGTTAAAATTGAATATTTAACCTATGGTTAGGTACTGGTAGTTTAATTTTAGTTTCAGTTACATAGATTATTTAGTTGTGAAATAGCTTAGTGTATGAATGTTGTCCCAAAAAATATTTAATTTAAGTTGTTTGAGAAAAGTAATGAAATTCTAAGTTAAAGTTTTTCAATATGGATAAAAAGTAAATGACTTGTAACTTCATAAAAAATAAATTGTAATACTGGTATTTTAACTTGCACCTTCATTGTGGTACAAGGTAATGCAAATTGAGTATAACTAGTGAAGAATTAGGCTTTTATAAGCCTAAGAACCAGTCCAGTCATTAATTTTGTTTAGTTCTGGATCTAGTTAACTTTTAAATCTCTATATAATATGTCGAGGGCATTAATATCATACATAGGTTTAATTACCCTTTAAGCTGAATGACATTAGTATATTGGGACTCTGTATAATTAAGTTTAATTTTATAGAAACTTTGTATGGATTATTAAGAGACTAAAATTGAATGTTATATTTAAAGAATTGTTAATAATTTAGCTCATATATCTGTGATTGTGTGTACATATATGTGTTTATTGTTACGTCTCCGTTTGTTAATTAACTTTCCGTAACTTCGTTCCAACGAAACTTTAACGACACAAGTCTTTACTTAATAAAACTGGTTTATTCTTTCCGAATATAACTCTTCGATATACTTAATCTCAATGCTCGCGCTAAAACAACACTGTAACGAACGAACGTTAACTTCAACAATACCCTGTTACTGCAGTTCAATTACTCACTGACTATCACACATTACATTCCCTGTTACTGCAGTTCAATTACTCACTGACTATCACACATTACATTCCCCTC